ATCAACTAAACGGGGCATTCGACGCCAAGGAAGATACACTGGCGCACTATATGGAGCGCGTTAAGATGCGGGCCACTAATTTCGAAGCGGTAACATATGCGCAAATACCAAGGGAAGAGAACGCGCACGCCGACGCGTTGTCCAAGTTGGCAACGGCTACCGACTTCGAATCCACGCGCCTAGTGTCTGTTCAAAAGGAGGAGGAAACCCGCCCGGAAGTAGCAATCAACACGACCCAGCTCACGGCCAACGAAGATTGGAGACACCCAATCGTGAAATACCTACAAGACGGCACAGTGCCAGAAGACGCTAAGGAGGCATGGACTCTAAGGCAAAAGGCGGCCCGTTGTACACTCATCGAAGGAGAACTGTACCGAAGGTCGTACTCGGGCGTCTACCTCAAATGCATCGGGCAAGAAGAGGCGCGCGACTTGGTGCGCGAACTGCATGAGGGACTATGTGCAATGCATGCCGGGCCACGCAGCATGGAACGCACCATCCTGTTGCACGGATACTACTGGCCGCGAATAAAAAAAGACACGAAGAGCTACGCAGATCAATGCCACAAATGCCAAGTCAATGCACGTCAGCATCACTTGCCAGCCACCGAGCTTCAGGGCAACTTGAGCCCATGGCCTTTCGCGCAGTGGGGCGTGGATCTCTTGGGCCCCTTCCCAACGGCAAAAGGGAAGTGCAAGTACATCATCGTAGCAGTAGACTACTTCACCAAGTGGATCGAAGCCGAAGCGCTGGCATCCATAACGGCGCAGCAGGTAACGCGCTTCTTGTGCAACAACATTTTGTCACGGTTTGGGGTCCCAAACGCACTCATTTTCGATCACGGGAAACAGTTTGATTGCGCGGAAGTGATAGACTTCTGTGACGAAGTAGGAACCATTGCAAGGTTCGCATCGGTGGCTTACCCCCAAGCCAACGGCCAGGCAGAATCCTCTAACAAAGCAATTTTGCACGGCCTCCACACTCGCCTGAACGATGCCAAGGGTAATTGGGCGGACGAGCTCAACACTGTGCTATGGGCGCATCGCACCACATACAAAGTGGCAACGGGCGAAACCCCCTTCTCTCTTACATACGGCACTGACGCAGTAATCCCCATTGAGACAACAGCCCCGACCTATCGAATCACAGGGTACAACGAAGAAGCGAACGAGGAAGAGCGCCTGTTGGAACTCGAGTTGTCACAAGAAAGGCGCGAGTTGGCAGCCATCAGGCTGGCCGCAATGAAAGAGCAGGTAGCCAAGTACCATAATTATAAGTATGCATGCCTGATGGCCTTCTAATATTGTCCATGCATAGATACTGTTAAGGACAGAATGATTGGGATCCAATTTGGTGATCGGATAACCGCTTTGGTTTGGTTATGTGATATCAAATACTTTGTAGTATTTGAGATGAATACAAACTCATAATTCATATTATGATAAGAGTTTAGAGAAATCAATTATGTTTGAATTTGGAGGAATTCACGTTGAATTCTTGAAACAAATTTTGTCACCAAAATTTGTATGAGTTTCAATTTTGATGCTTGCAAGATGGAACAATTTGGTTTATGTAACAAAATTGTTTGAGTTGTGCACTTTGAAATAATGGTGAAAAGCGTTCCCGACATGGTAATTTGTTTATCATGTATTGGTTTATGATGTCATGTTTCATATGCCATAAGGGAAAGGAAAAATGAAACTAAGATGGGTCCTTATAGGGATTGAATAAGCTTGCCAAAGAATGATGATTATCAAAATAATCATTGCCAGAATTGTTTATGGTATATATAGACATATACCATTGGCAAACAATTTGGCTTGAGAACTAATTGAGATGATCTTATTGAACTTAAATTCTGAATTACTTATGGTATATGTGTGAATTTATACCATTGGAAAGTAATAGAAGATTGAATTAGAATATTCATTTGAATTGCTTGTGGTATGTTAAGTTACCTTCGTGAAATGTCATTGGTTAGTAATTAGATGGTATTTCCAATACAATCTGAAAATGCAACTGAATTACTTGTGGCATCTCAACTTACCTTGACCAATTCCATTTGGTAAGTAATTAGATGATATTTCTAATAATATCTGAATTGTTTGTGGTATACTAATCTAATTAGTTCATATTATTGGTAAACAATTAGATCAATGTAGTGGTCGAAAGTTCAATAAGTAATACCATGAAAAATAAAATGGAATTATTCAATGATAGTTCGGCAAGTGGAAGAATTGTGGGGGAGAAGGTTTTGATGCTAGTTGGATAGCAAGTTCTAGTGATAATAAATCTACAACTGGTGGATTTTACACTAGGGGATGGAGTTGTTTCTTGGGTTTTGAAGAAACAAAAGTGTGTTACACACTCCACTATGGAAGATGAATTTCTAGCCCTTCCGGCGGCTGAAAAAGAGGCAGATGGCTAAGAAACGTGTTGTTAGATAAAGAGTTGTGGCCACAACCGATGTTTTTCATTTCTGTCTATTGTGATAGTGAGGCTACTTTGTCTAAAGCTTAGCAAGATTTACAATGGTAAGTCTATACATAATAGCCTAAGACATGGTTACGTTAGATATTTGATTATTAATGTAATCATTTCTATTGTGTATGTAAGATCAAGCAATAATTTGACAGATCCTCTTGCCAAGGGATAGCCAAGAGGCATGATCTATGAGACATCCCAAGGGATGGGATTAAGACCTTTTGTGTAGTTAGAAGTAATGGGAACCCAACATTTTCTTTAGGTATTCTTTAATTAAAAGGTTCAATGTGGTAATAACAAGTTACTCTAGCAGAGGCACTAATTTATTGTACAAGTAAATAAGTCCAAAGAAGGGTGAGTTATAGAACTCTTGAGATGAGTTATAGAACTCTTAATGAATTCATTTGGAATGTCACCTATGTGAGCATTTAGAGTGGTGCCGCTCTAACAAAAGTAGAGGTCAACTTTTGTGTATGCTCATGAAACAGGATTAACACATGGCCATAATAGTGCTACCCTAGTTGGTGGTTGTGGTTTAGAGAAGAGACAAGTAAGTGTGTGGCATCTCCGGTTATAGCTTTGGATCGTGACTCCTAGGCTTAAACCCGTCACTGATTCGTTATCCACAACTTTGAGTTGCTTACACTAGGTAAAGGTTCAAATCAAAAAGATACCTTTATGTATGCGCTACTTGTTCGAGGCAGGTATTCTCAACTCTTGTTGACTAAGTGGGGGATTGTTAGAGTTAGTCAATAGAGTTGTAATACGAAATTGATGGGAGAAGTAAATTATAAAGATGGAGTCTTTTGGCAATTTAATTAATTAATTAATTTTATATTAATTAATTAACGTTTGAATATTGTGAAAAGAAGTGTCCTTCCAGAAAGGTAACTCCTTTTTTCTGTGAAAGGATATGTCCTTCCATAAAGGTAACTACCTTTTCTATGAAGGGATGTGACTCTTCGGAAGATAACTTCCAGTTTTCACAACTATAAATAGATGACTGCCATAACTCTTTTAATGATGAGAGAATTCTTCTTCTTCCCGTTTTCCTTCTCTATTTCATAAACACAGAAGTCTGCAAGATTGCTGCTTCCAGACTTAGAATTGAAGGGACTCCTGAGGGTGGTTGCTCGAGCCTACCATCAATTTGTAGTGGGAGCAAATAGCACTCTAAGGAGAATGATCTTATAACGCCTTCAATCTATTCTTTCCTACCAGTTCCTGACAACGAGTGGTTCAAGACGCTGAAGGCGAAACTCCTCCCACTAATCCACTGCTCCCTCTACGACCCTTCCCCGCTGTCGCTGCTCTCCTCCACCACTTTCTCTCCTACTACGACGCCCTGGACCTCACCTCCACCGTCTCCGTCACCAACCTCCCTCACCTCCACCCGTCGTGGCGCAACTCATTCGGCAACAGCTCCACCGCCATATCAAGATTCGCGACGGCGACACTGAGTAGGGACTGAGCAAGGACAGGATCTATGGCGCTATTGCACGGTCGTTCATCCTAATTTTTGTCGCGGTGGCTATGATTGACAAATGGATTTTGGTCGTCTCCATCTCTTCCCAAATTTCTATATCGAGAACCCTACTCTCCGCCACACCTCCCTAGGCGGATTCCTTCCTCTCTCCAACTCGAAATATAGAAACAAAGACCCGTAGTTTCATTTCCCAATTATTTACATAATCTATGTTGGAGGGGGAGGGTTGGGTGGTGGGGAGTATGGAGTTTCGATGGTGAAACGGGAAGGGGAGAACAGAGGAAGAGGTTGGGTTTGGTAGGGAATTATAGGAATTAAGTTTTTTTTAATAGTTGTGGAAGTTATGTGAAAAATTTAAATGTTACTTTTTTTAGAAATATTTAATTATCACGTCACAAAGTTAACGATTAACTATGATTGTTGACTGCCATATCTAAAAAAGTTAACGGAGTTGGACGGAGAGTGACCAAACTTGAATTGTTAAACTAATTTCAGTGACTAAGAATGGAATTAAATATTTGTAGTGACCAAACATAAACGTGGCCACACATGCAATTTACCCTGGTACTTTACTATCGATAGAGCACTGGAATGTACGCCTTCCACATCACCAAGTAGAGATGGCAATGGGTCGGGTTTTGTCAAACCCAAACCCACACCCATGGGTTTATCCGTAAAAAAAACCGGGGGTAAAACCCACTGGGTTTGAAAAACTCAAACCCAACCCGCTGGGTATCCGTGGGTTCATGGGTAACCACAGGTTTTTGTCGTAAAAAAAATTATAATAGCAAGTTCCTATAAAAATTAAAGTCAAATATCAATCTCTCAATACAAATTATCCATATATAAAACACCATTCTAGAAAATTCAAGCAAATCACAAATTAACTATACAAATTATTCAACACCAATCTAGAAAACTCAAGAAAATTGAAGCAAATCACAAATTATCATAAATAACATGATTAATTGAAAACTTCTTCCTTTCAATTAAGTTTCTACACTCTCCACTCGATAACATCAACTTTATTCTACACAATTAGAAAGAAAAAATTAGATATGTCTCCACAAACATAAATAAGATTAATTGTTTAGAATATTAAATATACCGAGAAAATTAATTATATTGGTGTGAGCGGGTACCCATGGGTCGGGTTGACCTAAACCCAAACCCAACCCAATCCGATAAATAGTGAATGGATTTAAACCCAAACCCGGCTCAAAACCCGTCAACATGGATTTTACCCACGTTGACTAGGTTGGGTCGTGTGGGTACCCATAGGTTTGGGTTTTGTTGCCATCCTATCACCAAGTGACTTGAGAAACTTCATTAGTGTTTTGATTTACAGAGTCCCTAGTATAAGAAGAGTACCTCAGATGGATATCCAAGAGAGTAATATGTAATGCTTTCCTTGGACACAGATGACTCAAGCATCCCGTATCCGATGTAGAAAAGAGCCGTTGGAGAAATTAGGCAAAGACAAAACGACAACTTGGACTCCTTCTTAACTAAACCCAAACGTTCGGGACGACACACAAGTGAAAGTAAGTAAAGGCCCCTTGCCTGCTGCACGTGATTGACAAAACTAGCCGTTACCATCCATTAAAACCCCCAAACCCACTCTCCCTTCTTCATTTTCCCCCATCTTCACTTCACTTCATTCGCCCATTTCTCCACCACCTTCGCTTAACACATACACTCTCTCTTCTCTTCTTACACGTTCATGGAACGTTACAGTTCCATTCACAGGAACGCCCCATTCTACCACCTTCATACCAAGTTGTCATTGTTCTTCCTCTTTTCCCTTTCAGCTCTAACCTCGCACTTGGCTTCTTCCCAGAAATGGGATGGAGTTGCCGTCACTAAATCCGACTATCGCTCCCTTCGAGCCATCAAAAACGAGCTCGTCGACTTCCGGGGAGTCCTCCGTAGCTGGAATGACAGCAGGCTCGGAGCATGTTCAGGCGGATGGGCGGGTGTCAAATGCGTCAAGGGCCAAGTCATAGCAATCCAGCTTCCATGGAGAGGACTCGGTGGCAGGATCTCCGATAAGATTGGGCAGCTGCCCGAGCTAAGAAGGATCAGCTTCCACGACAATGTCCTAGGTGGGGAAATCCCTCCATCTCTTGGCTTCCTCCGTAACCTCAGAGGCGTTTACCTCTTCAACAACCAGCTCCGTGGCTCCATCCCTCCTTCCATCGGTAACTCCCCTGCTCTTCAAGCTCTCGATCTTAGTAACAACTTGCTAAACGGTCCCATTCCTCCTAGTTTAGCAAACTCAACCAGGCTATATCGGTTGAACCTGAGCTACAATTCCTTGACCGGTTCTATCCCGGCTGGTCTCTCTCGTTCTCCTTCTCTGGTCTTCTTGGCTCTTGAACATAATAACCTCTCTGGCTCTATCCCAGCGAGTCTTAGCCAGTTGGGTTTGGTTCAAGAGATTTCTCTGGGTCAAAACCGAATATCCGGAGCCATACCAAATGAACTAGGAGCCTTGTCCACCCTCCAGAAGCTAGATTTGTCCAACAATGCCATCAATGGAACAATCCCTTCAAGCTTCACCAATCTCTCCTCTCTAGTTTGGTTGAACCTAGAGGGGAATCTCCTCGACGGCCAAATCCCAGAAACCATAGACAGATTGCACAACCTTACAGTGCTTAACCTGAACAACAACAAATTCCAAGGCCCCATCCCACCTACTATAGCCAACATATCTTCCATAACCGAACTCGATTTGTCTCAGAACAATTTCAGTGGAGAATTTCCAGCTTCCCTTTCTCGTCTATCGAATCTCAACTCGTTCAACGTGTCCCACAACAATCTATCCGGTAGTGTCCCTTCTCTTCTTGCCAAAAAGTTCAATTCAAGCTCTTTCACTGGAAACCTTCAACTATGTGGCTACAGTTCTTCAACCCCTTGTCCTTCCTCTGCACCCATATCTCTTCCATCATCACCATCCCCCGAGTCTGCGACCGAGAACCACACTCGGCATCGCAAGCTTAGCACCAGAAACCTCGCACTGATTATAGGGGCTTCCGTGGTGGCTTCCCTGCTGCTACTCTGCTGCTGCCTGCTCTGCTGTTTGATGAGGAAAGGATCTTCTGGTTCGAAACAGAAGAACGGCAAAGTCACGGCTCGAGGAGCCCTGGGGAAAACGGAGAAGAAGGCATCTGCAGTCTCCGGGCAGCCTGACGTTGAATCAGGCAGGGAGATGGGCGGAAAATTGGTCCATTTCGATGGGCCGTTTATCTTCACGGCTGATGATTTGCTGTGTGCAACTGCTGAGATCATGGGGAAGAGCACCTATGGAACTGCGTACAAAGCAACATTAGAAGATGGCAATCAAGTTGCAGTGAAGAGATTGAGAGAGAAGACGACAAAGGCGCAGCGTGAATTCGAGATCGAAGCTGCCGCAATTGGGAAGATTCGTCACCCGAATTTAGCAGCTCTCCGAGCTTATTACATCGGACCTAAAGGAGAGAAGCTGCTGGTATTCGACTACATGCCTAGAGGAAGCCTTTCAGCTTTCCTCCATGGTAAGTCTATTTATCTATACACACATTCAGACATTCGAAGCTATTAGCTAATGCTTCTAATGTGATTTAGCTTAATTTTGGTTTTCTTTTCTAGCTCGTGGCCCGGAGACCATTATTGATTGGGCAACAAGGATGAATATAGCCATGGGAATTGCTCGAGGGCTGAATCATCTCCACACAAATGAGAATATAATCCATGGAAACCTCACCTCAAGCAATGTGCTCCTCGACGAGCAAACAAACGCCCACATCGCCGATTTCGGGATCTCCCGTCTCATGACCGCTGCCGCAGCCGCAAACGTGATTGCAACCGCGGGAACCCTAGGTTATCGAGCGCCGGAGCTGTCAAAAATGAAGAATGGCAGCACGAAGACGGACGTTTTCAGTCTCGGGGTAATAATTCTGGAGCTGTTGACCGGGAAATCGCCAGGAGAACCGACGAACGGCATGGATCTGCCGCAGTGGGTAGCTTCGATAGTGAAGGAGGAGTGGACTAATGAAGTGTTTGATTTGGAGATCTCGAAAGACTCGACCACCATTGGCGATGAGCTACTTAATGTTCTGAAATTGGCGTTGCACTGCGTCGACCCAACGCCGTCTGCTCGGCCGGAAGTTGAGCAGGTTCTTCAGCAGCTGGAGGAGATAAAGCCGGATCTGGCGGCGGCAGCGCCTCTTGCTGAATCCGATGCCGGGGCCGAAGAACACCTACCTACTACCGCTAATTAGTGATTCGGCTTCTCCTCACACGGCGTCGTTTATTAAGACAGTATTTTATTTCTCAAATTCTTTCATTATTTATTTGTTTACTTCATATATATGAATATTTGTTGCTCAATTATTTGTGTATACCATGGTTGTCATGCCGGCCGGCGTGCCACCGGTTGTACCAGGTTCAACCGATACCGGTCATAAAACCGGCGTGACACCACCGGTATGACCGGCATGATCGATATACGAATCTCTAAGTAAAATGACTTTATTTTAGGGAATTTAATTGATAAAAATTATTTTATTATTTATTTTATGAGTATAAAAGTTAAATATTGATGTTATTTGTTGGATTCAAGTATAAATGTTAAGGTATTGACGTTAAATGTCATGTTTAAATATGAGTATTTCTAATTATATTTGTAATATTGACCGGCATGAACCGGCACAAACCGGTATGTGCCACCGGTCGAACCATTCCACTTGCTAAACCGGCACACTGGCATAAACCGGTTTGACAACCTTGGTGTATACATATATAGGGAGAGAAGCAAAAATGAGTTCTTTTTCAACAGTGAAAAATAATAATGAGTTGTTCTCATAGGCTCAGTTAGGGTTGGTTGCTGTATTAATTTCATATGGAAAAAAGAGAAAGGTTGTTGTCATTAAGCATTCTTTAGTCTTCAATTCAATATAGTCCGTCTATAAAAAGTTGTTTACAAAACTAAGGGCCAAGATCAGATGACTAAGGGGTCCCCTCTTAGTCATGTGACTAAGTGCATCTCAGCCATCCATCCAACCTCATTTAAATTCAAAGGCCCAGATTAATCTATATAGTCAGTCTATACAAAGTCGTTTACAAAACTAATCTACTTCTCACATGGCTAACAATCATATACACGTATGTTCCACGTGTCAGCCACATAAGAAAATTTAATTTAATTTAATTTTTTTCAGTTTATAATTTTTGAACGTTGGATGGTAAAGTCTCTCCACTTTCTTTGAATGGTCGTTCTCTTCCCATATCAATCCTCCAATAATATATAGTAGAGTTTTGTGTACCTTTTTTCATTTCAAATTTCCTCCAGCGAGAGTGAGTAGGAATGACATTTTTGTTTTTATAATTTTTTATTTATTCATATAAGAATTAATATCAGGATTTGAACCTGAGTCTCTTCAAATACAGACAATAATCATAACCAATTACACTAAATGAATTTGTTGTACATTTTTAATGCAAACATATACAGAGTTAATCTCTGAAAATTGAAGACTTTTTCATCATGATTAGCAAGCCCACTAAGTCTACTGTATGTATTTTTATGGTACTTAATACTTCAATTTTCATAGTAGAGTTTCAGATAATTTCATCCATTTTAAAATTCCTGCTCACTCCTTAATTTTCTCTAAAAGTAAATTGGTAATTGTCTAATATGGAAGAAACTATTTCTTTTACTACCTGTTGTGCCCTTGCATTTTGCATTTTGCAATTTAAATTTAAATTTATGTGCTTATTTATCTTTGTTCTTATCTCTTTCTAACTTCTTCCAAAATTTCCTCCATCGTGCAATAGTTTGCGCCCCGCCCCTTTCACTTCCCAATACATGACCGCCTTTGAAAATCAAACTTTCGGTATCTATTGGCACTACGCTTTTATTGTTGGGGGATTTAAGTTACGCAAGTAGAAGATTTTAGATTGAATATCAATCCATGGCGAATAGAATGGAGTTCAATCAAGTAGTTATGGTCTGACCTTAATCATCTCGCTCGATTCTTCTGCACTAGCATCACCCAATGGTTCTGTCTCAGCTCGATGAACTACCAGAAGAACTATTTTGTTGTTTCTATTGTTGAAGACAATGTTTGATCAGTTATATCATCCACCTTTACTCCTCTTCCTATATTGACCTTCTAAGGATTTCGGTTTTTGCCCAAGGTTAATCGCTTCGGATATGTAAGTCATTGCTTTCTTCTCTATGTCTCATGGTTTTATCTTTCCGATTAATAACAAAACTGCTTTTGTTTTCACATTATCTCATCACTAGAACATGCAGAAGATCTATTTCTTTTGATCCTATTGCATGATATGATGTTTGAAGCTCGGTGGATCTCATGTTTCATTGCTCCTCTTTCTGTTCTTAGGTTTCAACTTCAAATGAGTATTCTATCTTAATAGAAGGTTCATCGAATTGAACTAGTAGGCTATTATTTCCTTCTTAATTCATCTAAATTTGTTGTTTGTGATTGATTTATAAAATATAGGAAAATAATTTGAACGATGGTTTGAGTGCTAGGTTTGTTTGACACCAAAGGAAAAGTTTGTGCAGAACAGAGGCAGTTGTAATTTCCTACTGCACTTTCTACTAAATTGGTTGTTGTTTCCTGTAATTTATTTTTGTTCTATGCTTGAAACAATAAAATAAGATGGTAATTAGAAAAAAAAGTTTTCTTTTAATTGTAATATTTCAGCTTATGTTTGATTTTGTAATAGCTAATGTTCTCCGCAACCATATTTTTTCTTCATTAATTTTGATTCTTATGGTCTAGCTCATCAATCAAATTTTGATTATTTTAGGAATAGTTAGACACTGTTGAGTTTGCTTATGTTTTTAGTGTCCATTAATCAACTTGCAAACCATAATAATTGCTAAAATTGAGCTTCCATGCAACACTGTAGGGGTTGGGGTGTTGAAGTTGAAGTAGAAGAGTTGGGTTTGGGAAGGGAAGAAATTGTGTTTAGATTTGGTAGCATGTAAAGTTCAACTACAGCATGTGAATGCAGAGAAGAGGGAGTTAGTAAGGGTAATTATCGAATTCATGACGAGTGTATTGAAAGACACGGAAGCGAAATTGGAGTAGTTGAAGAGAGAGAGAAGTGAGAGATGATGAGGATATTAATGAAAATGGAGAGGGTATTGAAGGGCATGGAAGTGGACTGAAGCAGGTGAAGGCAGAAAAGGGGAAGATGATCATATTGATGGAATTGGAGACGAGTGTTAGTTTTAGCGAGCTTATTACAACTTCCCCTGAGGAAGATGAGTTGGCAAAACACAAGAAGAAGATTGAGGAATTGAAGAGCAAGTTGACAAGAACCCAAATTGGAAGAGAAATTGAGGGCCACAGAGAGAACTAGGGATGGCAATTTCCACCTGACCCGATTTACTCGACCTGTTTGGCCTGTTTTGGGGCGAGGCAAGAATGGGTACCTCTCATCGACCCGACCTGCCCTGACCTGCCCCATTCTCGACCCGTTCTTGCCTAAATTACATGTAATCTTAGTCAAATTACTTAGAATTTTCCTCTTATTACATCATATTTTAGGTATAATAAAGTTGTAAATAAGTGAAAAATGCAATTTCTCCAATAATTTAACTACATTTTGTCAAATTATGGTTTCTTTCTTGGTCTTTTAATTAAAATAACGAATAATTCTAATGTTTTTCGCATAAATTATATTCTCATTGGGTCGACCTGCCCCGACCCGCGCCCCATGATAAATTACCCGACCCGGACCCGACCTGCCACGGGGCGGGTATAGGTATCGAGTTACCCGCCCCGGACCTGCCCCATTGCCATTCCTAGAGAGAAGGTCCATCAAAGTAGCAGAAATGGAGTTGTAGAAGGAGGATTAGAAAGTGAATTTTTTGTTGAAATATATGCCTCTTGAGATTGAAGATAGAGTGGATAAAAATTTGGTTGTACAACGGAGAGTGGTGGCTATTGGATCTTTAGGTTTATGGGTTTTGCAGCTACCACGACCTATTTCTATCTTAAAACGAGGAATCGTTGATTGATTTACTGAAGTAGGTCGATTCTTTATTCAACCTACTGGAACTTATAGATAAGGAGTATCTAATTTTTTGTCTTATTACTTTGATCAAGCCTATTAGTATATTGGAGGTAACCCTAATGTCATAACGGGGCTGCTCAATTAGAACGATATTGTCCACTTTGGGCCAAGCCCGCACGGTTTTTACACTTGGGTGTCCTCCCCAAAAGACCTCGTACTAATTGGGCTAGATGGACTCTAATATACAAGGGTTCCTTCCCTTGTACAACCGATGTGGTACTTGGATTGTCCCATAACAATCCTCCCCTCAAGCCAAGGACCACGAACTTCGTTTCCTCTCCTCAGCGATTATCTTGATCCGTCAGACACCTTGTATCGATGGGCTTCCCGGTACAAGGATTTTCCCGGACGCGAAATTCTTTTTGATCCGCCAAATAGACGTGGATCTCTCCACCAGACAAACGCGTACCTCCCTCGATCCACAAGATGAGTCCAAACGTGGATCTCTCGTGAATCCACAAAACCAGACGCAGATCTCAAATCTCGAGGCCACCGCCCCGCACCGAACCAGGCTCTGATACCACTTGTCAGAACAGAAGTGTGTAATCGATAATCCAGATGAACACAAACGAACATGAATTTAATGTGGTTCACTAACACAATGTGTGCTAGCTAATCCACGGGCAGGGGAGAACAAATTTCACTGATTTGAGTAGAGTACAGGTTACAAACCAAATTCCAGAACGGACAAACCAAACAAACTAACCTGACTGACCTTACTACAGACTAGGGTGATGAAGAGTATTTATAGAACTCTTCTCCTAATTCCAAACAGAAAACCAAACACCTTTTTCAAACCAACAAGGTAAAGGCCAAAACAAAGCCCAAACACAAACCCAAACAAAATAGGCCAAAAACACAAAACAAACCCAAATCAAATTCAAGTCATATTCTAACAATCTTCACCTTGACTTGAATTCTCTCCCAAATGCCAGATATACAAGACGCAACCAAAGTTTCCATATGTACCCAATTCCTCCATTCAGAACCAGCTTGGTGCACTTATCACCAACAGAACATGTCAAAACAGAACCTTATAGACCATACAAGGCACCAACCTTGACACCTTTCAAAATCACCTTAGAACCCTTGTAGATAGACAACACTCCACCTTCACCTTTGAAACCGAAACCCTTGTCGTCGAGTAGACTCAAAGATATCATATTCTTAGTCATCTATGGAATATGCCTAACATTGTTCAAGGTGCGTACAAAACCATCATGTGTCCTCATCCCGACGGAGCCTCTTCCAACAATCTTACAGATAGCACCATTGGCCATAGAAACATGTCCTCCATCTATCTGCTCATAAGTTGAAAAACACTTCCTCCTTAGACACATATGATAATCAGCTGCAGTATCTAAATACCACACATCCTGATGATGTACATGTTCATTCACTGCTAAGACTAAACCATCTTCAGAATCAGAGTTAGTTTCTTCCGCCACAACAACAAATGATTCCTTCTTCTATTTTCCAGACAACGGAGCCCACAAACCCTGTTGTTTCAACAGTGCTTGCATCTTGATCTGCCACAAACTGAAACTGTTTCTTCCGGTAAACATCTCAATCTTCATACTGATAGCAACCATTCTTACTATCAAACAAACTCCAACCAAACTTCTCACCAAACAAGCGAGACTAAAACACAACTACCCAAAGTCAACTTCAAAGCGATTCCTCCACCGAACCAAGCTAAAGAATTGAAAGCTACCTCCAATTGTCATAACGAGGCTGCTCAATTAGGACGATATTGTCCACTTTGGGCCAAGCCCGCACGGTTTTTACACTTGGGTGTCCTCCCCAAAAGGCCTCGTACTAATTGGGCTAGGTGGACTCTAATATACAAGGG